ATTCCTTGCGAATTTCAGGAGTCCGTGCGCCTGAATGCTTGGTCAACACCGCATAACTTTTTGCGTTTTTCCCTCGTCACATTATTTTTTATTTCCCTGGGCGCAAAACAAACAAGGCAATTTTTTTTAGGTTGAATACATGGAGCTGAAGGATTGATGCTGATTTGTTTTCATTTATTATCTTAATTTCTTAAATTTCCGACAATAAAACCGATCCCAACCGTGTTCGGGTCTATTTCTGTTTAGCAATCTCATTATAAAACAGTGGCATATCTAGTGAATAATTATTATTGATGGTTTAACAGTAACAGATCCAGGGATGGCAAAGTCTGGCTGGCAGTCGCCTCATTTTGCTGGTGGAAAGCATTTTCATTTGCCATAAATACCAATTTCGTTTGCTTTCAACTGCAGAATCATTTGATTCTTTCAAAAAGAAATTGTCCCAAAAATATGTCCCACTTGTATGTACAAGCACAAAAAAATGAAACAAAATCAAAACAAACAAACAACCCAACCCCCAACAAACACACAACCACCCACCCCAACATCCCAACATACAAACATCCCTAGTTGTTAGATATTCGACAACAGAGAATGACATTGAGAATCCAATGGATGTCAAATCAGTAAAGCTTTTGGTTTTACCAAATTCTAGTCCAGTTGTTTCTACCACGGTAAACCCACATTACATTTAATTTTCCTCAGACTGAAACGTAATTAATGTTGTCATTTTTTATTCAGTTAATCCGTGCCCCATTGACCATAAATTTCATATCAGTATTCGAGTTACAGAAATGGCACGGGGAAAAGTCACCGTTTGTACTTAGTCAAGTATGTCCCTTTCGAACTCAAATGGAATACTGCCAATATGTACCTGTCATTTCTCAAAGGTTTCTAAAAATCAAATACAAGTATTGACCATTTCCTTAGTTGCCGTGCATGAAAACGGCATGATGCAACACCGTCTTTGGCCGTAAACCTTCCAAAGAACTTTGGAGAAAACAAAGCAAATATCATTTCACTTAACAAACCCAAGATTGATAATTCGAATTTCTACTCATAACCAATGAATGGGGGATATTCATGAACAAAGCTATTACATTTCAACAAGAAATTCCACATCATCAAAGACGATGAATTCATTGATGCAAATGAGTCCTCTAAAGCTGCGCTAAGAGAGTTGAAATTTAATTAAAAAGGCAGCAGATCACCATCCACAGATCAAGGGTACCAATCTGGAGATGTAGGGAACTTCATCAACATCAAGCCAGCAGGAAATTCACTAGAAAGCGCAATTCAACTTTCGTTTCTACTTCTTTGGAACCGTGCCTGAGTTAGGGCGCCCTCATCCTTCCAACACCACCTTTTACATATACGTGTCGCGTATACGTAGGCAATTAAGATAGAATTGTTACTTTTTGGTGCTTCCCGTACATGCAGTGACAACGTGGTCTCTTTCTGTGGATTTCGTGTAGTGTAGAGCCGTACCAAATTCTCTGCACTTTTCCTTTAATTTCGTAGCCATGCTCCTAATGGAAGTCATGTGGCAGGTAATCAATCATTTGTATGTATATTTTGAATGATCTTTAATCGGAGATATTATGATTCTGGGGCACAATGTCACGGTTGTTAATGATTTGTATCGTGTATCAATGGATGCCACATTTAGCATCATTGGAATAGCGTGACCAGTCCAGCCTCATTCCCCGCGGGTGCACTCTTGCCACGACAGATGGTTCACCATCGTGCCTTGCGTGCTGGTATCGAGGGTGGCAGTTCTCCACTATGCATGATATCGTCGTGGGCGGAGCTGCACATTCGTGTCGGCGCACTGGAGCGTTGCGTTGTTCTAGTGAGAAAACTTTGTTACTAATTGAAGGAAACGAAAGGTTTCATGCAAGCAACACATGAAAAGTGCATAATTTAAGAGACAAACTGATGACAGATTGATGTGTTATTCACATTTTATCAGCATTTTCAAAACACACGTATGACGGCAATAAAACAGCATAGGCATGTAAGAACGATTGTAAATATTCATATCATTGCCATTTCCGTTGAACGGACGGATGGACTCCTGTTCGTAAGTATGACGTCACTTCAGTTTAAACCACTCCCACTGCACATCTACTGCACATAGAGTTACATGCATTGATCGCCGTTTACATGGCGATCGGCCAATAGGAGCCTGCAAATTGTGGCGCGTCCGCCTTTGTGACGAAGTCCCTTACGAACCGGATGTGGTTTCAGCGCTGCGTTTCGTTCGTGACGCACAATGGTCAACGCGGACCCCACCTTGATATGCAAGTTGCTAAGCGGCTCCTCGCGCGTTCATAACTTTGTGACCTTCCGCCATAGTTTCCTTTATATCGAAACAATTATTTGCAATCTGAAATGTCATGAATTCAAACATGTTTCCATGGAGCAGCTTTCAACCAAACATAAAGTTGCATAAAAGGAGAAAGTGGAAGTGAAACATAGCAGGCAGTGGAACGATAGCATACTAACGAGTAGCAGCGTTTTGTATCTCGGAAAATGTTGAGCTACTTTTTGCGTATCATTCGAAAATCATCAATAATTGACCAAGAATTTAGCCATGGGTGGTTGCAATCAGTCCAAAGTTCTGCTGGCTTCGTCTCCAGCCGATGATTTTTCTTCGGGTGTGATAAAGAACAAGTCCCTCTCCTGGAAATTCCTCAAGAACTGTCCCAACAGGATTCGGGTATGTTTATTCATTGTGGAGGTGTTCTGGTGTTGTCATAATTAATGCATTGGTTGAATATGTATTAACCTACTTCGAAAGATCCTGAGAAGTCTTGTTTGAAGTGTATTTGTGTTCTCACATTTCAACAGCTTAAAGATATTAACAAACGATACCAAACAGTTTCACCTGATACGCACTATGAACGTACATGTAGATGCTATTCTGCCCTTACTGGTAAAAATTAACAGGTAGCCCCTGCCCTGCCCGAGGACCAGCAAACCACCGATGTGCCACGGCGCGCAATTGTCGATATCAACAAGCCGCCTTCTCCCATCCGCTCTCGCTTGCGTGCCAGTCATGACAACGGCCCATCACCAACGTTCAGTGAGGTCAGCTTGTCTCCTTACATGATCACTGAGGACACGGCTGATGGAGACGAGTTGCTAGAGCTTGAAACTGCCGAACGCCCACCTACACCGGGTAAGTCATTGGTCATCAGATAATTTAAACCATCTCAACAGTGACCTAAATCTGTCCATGAAATTGGGGGGAAGGAGGCTGGGCAATTGTGAGGGGGGGAGGATGACTTGCCCGTCCATGGCAATTTTAAAAATTGACACCGTATGACACTAGGGGGCGATGTTCACGATAAAGACGTACATTCTGTAATCTGTATTACATTCCTGTAGAATCTTTAATCGGAACCGCCTTAATTTTATTCTCACCACAAAAAGTGAGGGGGATGATCCAATAGCCCATCCTCCCCGGTAAAAGGGTGGCGGGGATTGGATACCCCATCCCCCACAATTTACGCCCATGCACCTCAAAAAGAAGCACGAAGAGTTTACTTACCATCCAACTTTGTGATTAGCTGAACGTATCAGTTGTTTTATTTACTTCTCTATTGGTTCTTGCTTCAGATCTCTGCATCTTGGGCACTCCTCTTTTTGCAAAGAAGATTAGCAACAAGAAGAAGCTCCATGCTCGCCAGGAAAGCCAGGAGATCCTTTGTGAGCTCCGCAATGCTGGTATTGTGGTTCGCCCTGAGACACGCGCAGGAGGTGTCGCCTACGAGTACTTCGTCAAAGAGAAGTTTGGCTTACTGAAGAAACCGCCAGCTCGCTTGGAGAAGCTGAAGAAAGCGAAGAAGATGAGAGAGGCACGAGGTGATGCCAAGCTGAGAGAGGAGATAGACAGTCGCATGCAGATAGCTGAAGAACGTCGCAAGGTGAGATGACCAAGAGCAGGTGGACTGATTTATAATTAACAGATTGAACGATTGACTAACTAAATTTAAGGAGTTGAAGGAATGCCTCTTAAATATCACAAATAACAAAATGTGAAGGAATGCCTCTTAAATATCACAAATAACAAAATGTGATTGTATTCTCTTGAATTAACAGAATGTTCTTGACAAGGTTCGCATCCAGCAGACTCAGCACTTGGTGTTGGACATCCGAAGGGCCCGTGACAACTCAGCCGCTCTTGAGGAGGAAAAGATGCAAGCAACAGCAGAGCGCCTCCAACAGAAGGAGATCATGTCTCAGGTACGTAGAGCTGCCTCATACATATGCCTCAAGACCCCCTCCCCAGCAATCATCCATGTCTATAGGATCTGGGTGCTTACTCCCTCAAGCGAAACTGTCTGCTACTGAAAAGCTCGACACTGAAAACAACGTTTTTACTACACATCCACAGGTTATGCAGGGTCGTGCCACCGTCAACCGTGACCTTCGCAACATGCAGAAGAAACACCACCATACCGAAGTGCGCCTTCGTGCAGCCCTGAATAAAACGGCCAAGAAAGACGAAGAGCTGTGCGAAGCGAGGAAAATCATCGTAGTATCACCGATGAGAGGCGTGGAACAAGACCAGAGCGAGGAGGAAGAAATGGCGGGCGAGCCCATGTCCAATTGAACAACCAACAGCAGTTGGGGAATAATTACACGTATTTTACTTGTGTTCTACATACACACCAATATTGGGGATGATGTTAACATTTTGTGCTGTGTACTTCAAGGGGGAGGGTTCAAGTTGAAAAAAAAATATTTAAAAAAGAGAAACGGAGGGGGAGATTTCATAACAGATGTAGATCACGGCTGTCACGGACAAATTGAGAGGGGAAATGTTAAACAGAAATGCAATGATCTGATGTACATTTATCCTTACTAATAAATCTAAATTCAGCCGGGAGAAGTTTGAAGAATAAAACTGGACAATTTGATCTTTTCATCAAGAGAATTTTAGGAAGCCGTTTGAGGACGAGCCGAATACCACTTCAACAATGAACAACACTACATCTCTACATAAAATTAATAAAAATAATCATCCCTGCCCCCAACGCTCAATAAAACTGCACTTCTAAGAAGATGAATCTGAGACGTCATACAGTATCTGTTGTCAGTGGAATGTGAGGAAGCGCTTGTTATGTTTCTCTCCGCTAAAAGATATTCTCAAAGTTTGATATTCTATCAGCATGGATAAATTCATATCACAGCACAAAAAAGTGCAAATACCGAGCATTCTCCGGTTTTAAATTTGCATGCTGCGGTGTGAATGTAAGATTCTCTCTTTGGCCACTGTGTGAAAGTGTCTCAGTAGACGTTTGTTTGCGTTCTTTTGATGCCAGTTTGTTTTATGCGTGTTTTTCGTTCGCGGTTGGCTTGTTATGCTGGTTGAGGGTGATTGTGGCTGGTTGTGGTTGTTTGGTTGTGGTTAACTCTTGTCGCTTGTATTCGACTATGGTGGTTGTGGTTGATTGTGGTTGTTTTGTTGATTGTTGCATATTGTGGTTGGGTGTAAGTCTGTTGCGGCTGATTGTGGTTGGGCGTGGTCTATTATGCTTTAAGTTAGTGGGGTTGGCTGTAATTGGTTGTGGCTGATTGTGGACGGGTGTGGTTGATTGCATAAGACGTTGTGGGTTGTGGTTGATTGTGGTTGCTTGTGCTTGGGTGTGGTTGATTTATGCTTAAGTGTGGTTGACTGCAGTTGGTTGTGGATGGATGTGATTGATCGTTGGTGGTTCACTGTATAGTTTTAATTGGTAGGTGGTGGTTGGGTGCATGGACTGTATTTTCTGTTTCCGGTGTAAGATCGATAGTGGTTGGATATGTGGTTGATTGTTGTTAATGTGGCTGATTGTGGTTCAGTTATTTGATGCTCTATATTGTCAATGAGTATGGCTGATAGTTGATGGTTGTTTTGCCTCAATTTTAGTTTTGGTTTGCTTTAGTTTCATAAATTCATTCCGTTGTCATATGGTCTGCTCATGCGTTATCAGTTGCCTCGTAACAACCTGATTTATTACATCGATTAGCTTAACTTGATCGGTAGAAAGCACTATCAGTAGTCGAAACGTTAGCAGTTGCAGTCGGTCAGAGGTCAGTCAGTTCAGTGCCCTATTACGTAAAGGAGTCATTTTGGTTAACTCTTTAGCATGCATTGTTCCTTTTTCCATACCTATCTTACTTCAGTTCTCCTACATTTCCGAACTTAAAACAATAAGCTGCAGTTCTTTACGCCTGGTTTTCTTTAAAAACTTCTTTCCAACCGTCAGCTAAAAAGTATCTTAGATTCTATATCGTATGATATATTTGCTTAGCAAAATTTTCAAGAAATCTCTCTCGTGTCCTCAACATTGCTCCTACCTCTCTCATCATCCGTCTCCTTGTTTCCCTCCACCTTTCTCTTTATTAATTCACCCTTTCTGATCTGGCCTTTCTTTCTCTACCTTCATTCTTCTTTGTACTTGAGCAGAATGTTTACGTTTGACCAGTTCTTAACTCCTAACCCTTTCGGAACCTTCCGGGATCCTGCAATTGAAGTACAAATTTACAAGAACCTCGGTGGTTCACCCATGGTGAACAAACAGTTTGGGTGTGACTGCCTCAAAAAGTCACTTGACTCCAAGAGGAGTTTCGGTCTACTTTAAACAAATGCACAAGACTTCTATGCATCCGTGCCCCGTGATTATTATTCAAACGCCTGTCTCAGGTTTCACAAACTTATGTGAAGAACAACTGTACACTTGTACTGTCAAAGGCTACTGGCTAATGACGACTCTGTCATTTACACAACTTCACAAGTTGGATGTAGGCCTCAGATGATATGTGGTACACAATAAACACTATAAGTCCAAGACGTTAGCATTAGATAACAATCTGAAAATTAATCAAAATAAATATAAAACACTAATCACATCATAACTGAATGAAGACCATGTGAAGAGGATGGCCTGAACCTAGGTAAGTACATGTCTATGTACCTGTACATCTACACGAACGTGTTACATTGCAGGGTGTGTGTGTGTATACTATTACATTAATAAGCACACTTTAGTTTAAGTGACAATCTCATGAACTTTTCCAGATTTTTATCGTTTCTTTGTAGGGTCAAAATAAAACTAAACTCACCATAAAGGGCTCTCTTAAAGTCTACCAATCACAGGAATGATCTGGGAATCACATTTTAATTAAACTCAGAAAATACAACTTGGTTATTGATAAAGCTATCCAAAAGCCCTGGGGAAGAGCTTTTTATGCTAATAAGGTTGAACCTCCTAAATATGATGTAATGGTTTGCAGACATGTAATGCAAGATCAAACTATTAAAGTGTAGCAGAAAAGACATTATACAGTAAATTCCAAGTATTGTGGGGATTAGAAAATTTTAAAAGAAACCATAATATAATTTTGACTTAAACAGAGATTTGTTTGCAGGAGTCTGTCGCAGATACGGTACGGAATAAAACTTCACATTCCACTGAATTAGCGGATACGCGGTTGCATCATAAAATTAAAACCCAACAATATCGAACATTGTCTTAAAACCCCTAGCGCGAAATCTCGCAAACAACTGAACTTCAATTTCAAAGTAAACTCTTCAGTGTTTCTAACGCAAATGGGGATTTCCCCGGATAAAAAACACAACATAAAAAATGGCTCTCCTCTAAATGATCATCATCAATCAGTTATAAGAAATGATTAGCATCTTATCACTGGTAACCTTTCATTCAACCAGTTTAAAGTATCAATTAACTGGTAACCATCTTCATATGCTGTAGAAAGAAAAAGACGCAAATGAAAAGAAAATCTAAATTGACAAAATGTATTTAAAAAACTGAGAAACTTTAAAGAAAGGTTTTTAAAAAGTAACAATAATTTCCTTTAATTTATTTATTAGTTTTAATATAGTTATTTTATTTTATTGGTTAGTTCTAGGTTATTTATTTTACAAATAATATCATTTGACTTTTATTTCATTTTCTTTGGTTCAAGGGACGAGTTCAATGAAATAGACATTTTTAAAGGATGTATTAACACAACAGCAAACGTTGTTAGATTCTGTATCTTAATTTTTAATGCAGCAATTACAACAAAAATTCCATCCACCAATTGGTTCCTTTACTTTTATTTGATTTTTATTTATATTTTGCTCATTCCGTATACATGAATCTTTGTTAATGTACTCAAGAAGTTTTATACACCTCACATTCATGAATTGTGAAGAATGGTTTGAAAATATGATTTGAACAAAGCGACCTACAGAAAAAACCTATGGTCATGAGTTCACTAAGCACAATCGGAGATAAATTTGTAAAACTTTCACACCCAAAATTAAATGTTATTTTGTCGAATTTAGAGACAAACGTTAGAGGAAGTCAAAATTTGAGGAATTTCAATTCACGTTTTTGAAAATCAAATCGTAATTTTTCTTGGCCGGATGGAGAATTTTTTGGAAAATTCATCAAAATGCTCTCATGGCTTTTTTCGGTCTTGGTAGTAGGTTGTAGCATTTTTATTTTGAGTCGAAACCAAATCAATAGCTTTATAGAGTTGGGTATCTTTTACCTCTATAAAATAAATGTCTTGATCCGTTTACAAGATTCGGTATTAATTCCACTGATGTATGTTAACTTAAAAAAAAAACGCCGACGACAATTTCCTAAACAGTCGAACTTCGACCCAGTTAGAAAAATGCACACCAATATCATTAGATTATTATGTCCAACTAACTGTCTACAGATAAGTATTGAAGGTTTGTATGGTGAAGAGGTATAATAGAAAGTAGGTTCGCGGTAGCACCANAAACTTACTCAGGTGTACTCAGTCCACTGGCAACAAGCCCATCTCATTGCCAACATAGAACAATGGCATCTACGCCGTGTTCGTGAGGTAATTGAGATTCACAAGAACAGAACAGTTCCGCAAGACACAGGCTTCATCATCAGTGACATCTGGCGCCCCATCCTCAACCATTCTTAGTTCGCCTTATGGGTCATCTATACCCTTGGCACCCTGCCCCATTTCTTCCTTTAGTCTCCCTATGGGTCCTCTACACCCTTGGCACCCATGTTTACCCATCCACACCCCCATCAGTACTGCCACACCTGAGTAAGTTTACCGCCAGCCAGCCTAATCCCTTCTCCAGAGTTCCCGCCGGTAACCCCCCTTCGGTGAGCACTACTGTTCAGAGGAAACTCCAGCTTCTTGGCCACGTCACCCGGCTCCTACAGGGAGTCCCGGCAAGGCAGATCCTGTTAGCCGCCAGCAGGCCTCCACCATACGACAGGCGCCATCCTCGTGGACGCCCCCGACTGAGCAGGGTGCGGCAGATCGACCTTTTCCGACCACTGCACTACCTGATGTTCCTGGCTTCAAACTGACAGGCCTACGGAGAGTTGGTCGCCATGGTCACTTAACTGACAATGCGAAGGAAGTCAAGAGCCCCCTCGATGTATGTCGACTGAAGTTCCAGAACTAACGACTACAGTCATGTAAGCCTGCATACAGTCATGTAGCCTGCATCACGGTCAAGGGTCACGTTCATGCTCCATGTAGGCTGCATGTTCCGGGATTGAACAGTCTTATCATTATTCATGAATTCTTTTGAGGCAGCGACGGAGGTGAAGGACATAATGGCTGTCGGGGTTGTAATTATGTACAGAGAATGCGCATGAAACCCCCTTTATCACTACAAGGGAAGCTAAGAAAATCCCATTTTCATATTTCCTAAATTGGAATTTCCTACTTATACAATCGACAACATGGTATTTCTGAAAATAAGTACCAAACATTCAAGGTGATGTTGTTGGAAAAGCCACCGTGCAACAAATAGTCCAAAGGCAAGCTACATATAAATGCAGATCCAACATACTTTATTTCGGCTGGCCCGGAAGGTGTGTGTTCAATAAAAATCACAAATCAAATCAACAAATCACACTCTATCTACTGCAAAAATTCGCACACCTACCTTTCGGCCAGTTCAGCTTTTTGGTCCGCGATGAGGCCGAAGGGGAGGGGGGAGGAGTTGAAACAGCCCAGCATTCATGTACCGTCAAAGAAAGACGACGTCGTCATCGTCGTCTTTTTACTGTTTCT